AGTTTATAGCTCTCAAAAACTCTAAATGGTACATAGTGTGATTAATTCCGATATATAATTAAAAAATCACCCGGATATATATATTTAGAAAGTCTAAAATTGGTGCAAATAGAATTTAGATTTTATCAATAAAATTATAGGCTTGAGTTTAATTGATAAACTATGAAAGGAGGGGAAATATGAATTAAGTTGACAATTAAGTATAGAAGCTTTTAAGGGTATACATATTTTGTGATAAAAAAAATCCCTATAAAATATAACTTGCAATTGCTTAGTTATGAATTGGTTTGGTTGATGTATTTATTTTTGTTGTTAGAAAAGAAACCGTAAGAGATAAGGAGTGAGATGATTTTGGTGTTGGAAAATTAGATTTGATATGGACCTGAGGAAGACTATTTCCGTACAAGTGGCAAGAAAGTAAGAGTCATGAAAACGTGGCTGTCCAAAGGAGTTTCCTAAAATGGACACTCACAAAGATACGCTATCCATCATCTTCTTCTCTTCTTCCCATTAAAATACTCTTTTTCCTTCTTTTCACACTCTCTATAAATGGAACACACAACACAACACAACACAACACACTTGTGTCAAAACACAACACTCCCAATCCTCACACTGCTTCGCAACTATTCAACGCTTCAAACTTCAAATCACTGCCATGGGAGAACAACTGCCGCCACTCAAAGCAGAGATGTTTGACGACAGCGAAAGTCATCGCCACGACGACGTTTTCAGCGACAGCAAGGACTCCGGACTGACTGAAGAGCCAACGGCGGTTCACATCAAAGAAGAGCTGGATGACGGCGCCGTTAACGGTTTCATGGATAAGATGCCGAAACCGATGGAAGGCTTGCATGAGATGGGTCCCCCTCCGTTCCTCAAGAAGACCTTCGATATGGTGGAGGACCCTAAGACTGACCCCATTGTGTCATGGAGTCAAACTCGCGATAGTTTCGTCGTTTGGGACTCCCATGAATTCTCCAAAACCCTTCTTCCCAAATACTTCAAGCACAGCAATTTCTCCAGCTTCATTCGCCAGCTCAACACCTATGTCAGTCAAATTTTCTGCATTCTCACCTTTCCTTCTGTGTCTCCTTAATTTTCTCTAACCTTACCCTTCTATTGTACCTCTCTGTCCTCTTCTTTCTCAAAAATACTGATACATCAAAATTCTAATTTTTTAATAATTTTATGAATTAGGAACAAATATTCAAATCTATAAAATAACCTTTGATTTAGATCCACTGAAGCCATTTATTCTTCCGTAATCTGTATAAATTGAACATTTGATTAATAAATTCTGATTTCAGAATTTTACTTACCATTTTGATAAATTTCTTGCAACATTTAATAATAGTTTAGCTTTCAGTCTGCTTGCGTATACAGTAAAGGGTGTAATTGGATTAATTTGTTTTTATATATAATATCATTTTTGCGATGTAAACGGAGTGTTTATGGTGTAACGGAAACAGGGCTTCAGGAAGGTTGATTCAGACCGCTGGGAGTTTGCGAATGAAGGATTCCAAGGAGGGAAGAGGCATTTGCTGAAGAACATAAGGAGGAGGGGTAAGTACAACAGACTGCATCAGGGAGCTTTCAATATGATGAAGCCAGGCGTGGAGGCTGAAGTGGAGAAACTGAAGAAGGACCATAACATTTTGAAGGTGGAAATTCTGAAACTGAGACAGCAGCAGGAGAATTCGAATGTTCAGCTCACTAATGCTCATGAGAGAGTTCGGCATGCAGAGATGAAGCAGTATCAGATGATGTTTTTCCTCACAAGAATGGCTAGAAGGCCCGCGTTTGTTGAGCAGTTAATCCAAAAGGTTAGGAGGAAAAGAGAGCTTGATGGTAACGACATGGTTAAGAGGCCTAGATTAATGGGAAACCCCTGCTATGTACCCTTCCCAAAGACCATGGAGACAACCCCTGATGTTGATTATAGACCCCAAAATCATAAACAATTCCCTTCTATGCAAACCGAGCTCGGTGGATTTCTGTCTGAAACTGTGAACACCAGCAAGATGGAGCACCCAACTCCCACTCCCTTGGAAGATGAATTGTGTAACCCTGTGCAAGGGTCAAGGGCCAATGGTTGTTCTAGCGCAAATGCGCCAGATGCTTCTTCTGCCTATCATGTTATGTCAGAAAAACTAATGCGGGAAAATTCTGTAGTTGATGAAGAACTAGATGTGAATGACTCTAATATCTATCTTGAATTAGAGGATTTGATCACTAAGCCGTCGGATTGGTCTCTTGGATCTGCAAATGGATTGGTGGAACAAACTAGTTGAAGTGATCTCACTAGTGTTGCTGTCCCTTGTAGTGGTAATCTTCCTCTCCAACTCTCAAAATGTTTAGTTTTGAACAATCTGGTCCTTAATGTTGCATTTGGCAATTTATGCAGGGTGCAATTTCAGGTTGCAGGAGTGTGTGTGTGACGCTCTGCTGCTAGTAAGATGAAGAGCTGAATATTATATGGCTCTTCAATTACCAGCTTTGAAAGTGCAGGACCTAGTTGCTCGCCCCAGCTTTTTATATGACGAAGCGAGAGTTTTCATATTTCAGTTTGTTTGTGTCAAAATTGTTCATATGTTGTACATCCCTTTCCTCCCTTGGCGTTCCTTTCCTTAACTTAGGGTCTTAAGTCATATCAGCATGGTCCTTGGTGTAGTAATTAACTATGTAGGTTGTAAATTTGTATTACAGAACATGGTTTATAGTTCAATACTTGGGGTGTATAATTACGTTACTGTTCCGTTTCAGCCTTTGTCTAATGTAGCCTGTCCTTTCCTTTGTCTCCTAGAATTTGTAGTCATCAGCTTCCTGAATCACTTTCAGGTTTAGGCTTTCATGATAATTTTGGAGACGTCTCTGTCTTCAGAGCTGTTATATAATCTGTCTTTTTCCTTGTCTCAGATTTTCCTGAATCACACTTTTCGGCTTGGAAAATGAGAAATGTTGTTTGGATAATTGGAAAATTATAACGATGAGGTTATTCAGATACTATCAATACATGATTAAAAGGGTATATTGCACAGAACTTTTGTAGTTATAAAATCCTTCAAACCATTTGGAATATATTGGTGAATAGATCTCAGTAAGTGAAGTTCTGGAGAAGAAGTTGATGAAAAGTGAGAAGAAGTTTGTGAAGAACAAGTGGCACAGGAAATACAAAAATAGGTTAAGAAAATTAGTGAAATTAGAAATATAAAAAGTGATTAAGGAAATTAATGAGATTAAAAATAGAAAAAATGGATTAAGGAAATTAATGAAATTAGAATACGTTAAGAGACCATTTATCATCAGAAAATGAATTAAGAAATGAATGGAACAGAATATCATTATTTTTGTCTAATAAATTTTAAAGAATAAGTATAGAGAAAAACTAAAGCCGAATACTCCTAATACTTTTAAAAATGTCTTAAGATTTCAAAGTAAACTCAATAATTTCACTTAAGAATAAATAACAAAATTAACATTCTTAATACTTTTAAAAATCTCTTATAAGAAATATTTTTTTTTTCAATCTTCGAAAGTAAAAGTCAATAATTTCATTTAAGATTAAAGAAAATAATGAATATAAGTGTCTTCCAGATAATTGTTTTCAATCTTCAAAAGTAAATTAACAATTTCATTCAAGAAAAACGCGCGATTTTAAATGTGAATATAAAATTAATAATAACAAGTTTAATTAAGCTAAAAATTACACGTATATCTTACGAATATTATTTAAGATTTACGTCATGTTTAATCTTGGTTAACACTTTTTTATTTTAGAAGAAACATGTAGGTAGTGGGTAGTTGTATGTGAGGAAGTTATAATAATTTGAAAGAGATATATTAATGTTAAAATTAAAATTTATTGAGAGATATATATGAAATAGTTATCACAAATTTATTGAGAGATATATATGAAATAGTTATCATGTATTGAAAGTAACATGTGAAACTAGTTATATATGAAAATGAAAGTGTATTTAAAAGTAATATATGGAAATGAAAGTGTTATTTTTATGTGTTCTTTATGTCTCAATCAAATCATCTATATAACTCTAAAATATTATGGAATATTTTATATTTTCTAAATATTTTAATTTATATTATTTCTTTATATTTTTTCAACTTTTTTCTTTTCTTTTCTTATAAAACTATATTATAATTATCTCTTTTTTTCTTGTTTTTTTTTCTCTTTCATCTTCAACAAGCTCTTTTTTATCTTAATTTAGATCAAAATAAAAAGTAAAACATGTTATTTTAATTTAGATCAAAATAAAAAGTAAAACATGTTATTTTTGTAATGGAAGAGAAAATGTTATTGTAATCTTAACCATATATTTATGTATATTTTTTTTATAATTAGTAGAGCTCTATTATGATCAATGTTACCATCAGGTTCGGCTTTGAAAGCATATAACCACTAACACCTTACAATTGATTTTCTAACTAAGAAAACTCAGTTAACAAGTAAAACAAGTATATTTTTAAATAACATGATAATTTTCAAATGACATCAGATTCAATATGATGTGTCAACTTCAAGAAAGGATCAAGCATGAACTCTATTATATCATTAGGCCATGAACAATGTTGATATACTTGGTGTGTTGCAGGAGAAACATATCTAGTTATGGATGATTTATTTAACATTAATGAAGAAAGATTGACAATGGTTAAAAGGTGATTAATGCACACATTGAAGATGATGCATATAACTCACTTGTCAATAGTCTAACTTGATATTTGATTCTACAAAATATTATTTTTTGGTGAATGTGTGAATAATATCTCAAGATTGAGTTAATTGAACAACAAACATTAAACTAAAAAGATAATTAAACTTAGAACATAAAGTCAATACCAAGAAAATTGAATAGTACTTATAAGTTTAACAAATTTATTATCTAAATATGAATTACCAACTTTCCCCACTAAAATAATGTTATTAAGGGATGGACGTGTTGCACACCGTTTAAGAAAGTTATCAAATGTGACTATAAATGAATCAACTAAAAATACAGGAATAATAAATGACTAAACAATGGAAGTTGAATAGTTAAACTCATTTATAGAACTGTGAAAATACAACTTTGAAAATATATATCATGTTAAAGTATAAGAAAGAGAAAAATATTAACAAAATGAATATTTATAATAATAACAAGTACATAACTAATTTGGTTAAAATAATTTCTCGATAAACTCTAAATTGTTGTTCGTATTGCTAAGAAACATATCGTTACAATGTGAGTGCGGTTTTACTGATTATTAATCATATTATATGTTCATGAGGTAATAATCATTCTGAACTTAGTCTATATTTTTTTACACAAAATAATAGATTATGAAATTCAAGTTATTCAACTCCAACAAAATTTGAAGTTGCTAAAATTCTAAAAATCTTTCTCCTTCAAAATTAACATGAATTTAAAAATATTTATATATAAAGAAACTATAATTAATTTTGTAAAAAAATAGTTAGCTTTATATTTTGTTAGAACCTTTGTAAAAAAAAATCAATTTTATTTATGTACAAATATGGACGAATGTAAATGTATTCATTCTTCTTTTTTATCTCTTCTCTATGTTTATTGTTCTTATATTTTCTTATAAGTCTTCTAACATAGTAAAATAAACTTATTTATTCATTGATATTAAACTTTCATATAAGAGGACAAGACAAACATCAAAATTTATAATTTACTGTGTTAGATAGTCTTTTATCTAAAATATAAGTATTAAAATAACTCTTTCTCACATTTATCTATTATTCACACATTCTTACTTTTTCTCTGTAGTTACCTAGATTATGCTAGTGTGTGTAAAGATTAAGTCTTCAGTTCTATGTGTTTACTACCAAAAGAGTTGACTGATTTATGTTTAAGTTCAGTTATTAAAAGATGGTGATACTTCAAATAGTGAACCTTATTTCCATTCTTCAGTATGTTCTAATACCATGCAGAACAAAAAAAAAATATGACCCATAGCCTTTGATTATAATAAAATAATGTAAATAACATGCAAAAATGAGTTATTCTCTCTATATTTCATCCTGTATTATGTCAACTATTTAAGGTAATATAATTATATTAGTATAAATTTTATTGAATATTATACTATTAACAATTGTATATGTTTTTTATTCAACTATTGCATTATAATTTTATAAGTTCATTATTACTTTTATTAAAATAAAATAAGGTAAATAAATTGTTTTTTATTTTAATATATTTAAACAATGTATATATATATATATAGAGATAGATTTAAATAAATGAAATATGAAATAACTTTAGATTATTGTAAACATAATTTGTGTAAAAGTAATTTTCAATTTAAGAATGAATTTTTAAAAAAAATATTTAATAAAGAAATATTAACTATTTAATAGTTNCTCTCAAAATGTTTAGTTTTGAACAATCTGGTCCTTAATGTTGCATTTGGCAATTTATGCAGGGTGCAATTTCAGGTTGCAGGAGTGTGTGTGCGACGCTCTGCTGCTAGTAAGATGAAGAGCTGAATATTATATGGCTCTTCAATTACCAGCTTTGAAAGTGCAGGACCTAGTTGCTCGCCCCAGCTTTTTATATGACGAAGCGAGAGTTTTCATATTTCAGTTTGTTTGTGTCAAAATTGTTCATATGTTGTACATCCCTTTCCTCCCTTGGCGTTCCTTTCCTTAACTTAGGGTCTTAAGTCATATCAGCATGGTCCTTGGTGTAGTAATTAACTATGTAGGTTGTAAATTTGTATTACAGAACATGGTTTATAGTTCAATACTTTGGGGTGTATAATTACGTTACTGTTCCGTTTCAGCCTTTGTCTAATGTAGCCTGTCCTTTCCTTTGTCTCCTAGAATTTGTAGTCATCAGCTTCCTGAATCACTTTCAGGTTTAGGCTTTCATGATAATTTTGGAGACGTCTCTGTCTTCAGAGCTGTTATATAATCTGTCTTTTTCCTTGTCTCAGATTTTCCTGAATCACACTTTTCGGCTTGGAAAATGAGAAATGTTGTTTGGATAATTGGAAAATTATAACGATGAGGTTATTCAGATACTATCAATACATGATTAAAAGGGTATATTGCACAGAACTTTTGTAGTTATAAAATCCTTCAAACCATTTGGAATATATTGGTGAATAGATCTCAGTAAGTGAAGTTCTGGAGAAGAAGTTGATGAAAAGTGAGAAGAAGTTTGTGAAGAACAAGTGGCACAGGAAATACAAAAATAGGTTAAGAAAATTAGTGAAATTAGAAATATAAAAAGTGATTAAGGAAATTAATGAGATTAAAAATAGAAAAAATGGATTAAGGAAATTAATGAAATTAGAATACGTTAAGAGACCATTTATCATCAGAAAATGAATTAAGAAATGAATGGAACAGAATATCATTATTTTTGTCTAATAAATTTTAAAGAATAAGTATAGAGAAAAACTAAAGCCGAATACTCCTAATACTTTTAAAAATGTCTTAAGATTTCAAAGTAAACTCAATAATTTCACTTAAGAATAAATAACAAAATTAACATTCTTAATACTTTTAAAAATCTCTTATAAGAAATATTTTTTTTTTCAATCTTCGAAAGTAAAAGTCAATAATTTCATTTAAGATTAAAGAAAATAATGAATATAAGTGTCTTCCAGATAATTGTTTTCAATCTTCAAAAGTAAATTAACAATTTCATTCAAGAAAAACGCGCGATTTTAAATGTGAATATAAAATTAATAATAACAAGTTTAATTAAGCTAAAAATTACACGTATATCTTACGAATATTATTTAAGATTTACGTCATGTTTAATCTTGGTTAACACTTTTTTATTTTAGAAGAAACATGTAGGTAGTGGGTAGTTGTATGTGAGGAAGTTATAATAATTTGAAAGAGATATATTAATGTTAAAATTAAAATTTATTGAGAGATATATATGAAATAGTTATCACAAATTTATTGAGAGATATATATGAAATAGTTATCATGTATTGAAAGTAACATGTGAAACTAGTTATATATGAAAATGAAAGTGTATTTAAAAGTAATATATGGAAATGAAAGTGTTATTTTTATGTGTTCTTTATGTCTCAATCAAATCATCTATATAACTCTAAAATATTATGGAATATTTTATATTTTCTAAATATTTTAATTTATATTATTTCTTTATATTTTTTCAACTTTTTTCTTTTCTTTTCTTATAAAACTATATTATAATTATCTCTTTTTTTCTTGTTTTTTTTTCTCTTTCATCTTCAACAAGCTCTTTTTTATCTTAATTTAGATCAAAATAAAAAGTAAAACATGTTATTTTAATTTAGATCAAAATAAAAAGTAAAACATGTTATTTTTGTAATGGAAGAGAAAATGTTATTGTAATCTTAACCATATATTTATGTATATTTTTTTTATAATTAGTAGAGCTCTATTATGATCAATGTTACCATCAGGTTCGGCTTTGAAAGCATATAACCACTAACACCTTACAATTGATTTTCTAACTAAGAAAACTCAGTTAACAAGTAAAACAAGTATATTTTTAAATAACATGATAATTTTCAAATGACATCAGATTCAATATGATGTGTCAACTTCAAGAAAGGATCAAGCATGAACTCTATTATATCATTAGGCCATGAACAATGTTGATATACTTGGTGTGTTGCAGGAGAAACATATCTAGTTATGGATGATTTATTTAACATTAAAGAAGAAAGATTGACAATGGTTAAAAGGTGATTAATGCACACATTGAAGATGATGCATATAACTCACTTGTCAATAGTCTAACTTGATATTTGATTCTACAAAATATTATTTTTTGGTGAATGTGTGAATAATATCTCAAGATTGAGTTAATTGAACAACAAACATTAAACTAAAAAGATAATTAAACTTAGAACATAAAGTCAATACCAAGAAAATTGAATAGTACTTATAAGTTTAACAAATTTATTATCTAAATATGAATTACCAACTTTCCCCACTAAAATAATGTTATTAAGGGATGGACGTGTTGCACACCGTTTAAGAAAGTTATCAAATGTGACTATAAATGAATCAACTAAAAATACAGGAATAATAAATGACTAAACAATGGAAGTTGAATAGTTAAACTCATTTATAGAACTGTGAAAATACAACTTTGAAAATATATATCATGTTAAAGTATAAGAAAGAGAAAAATATTAACAAAATGAATATTTATAATAATAACAAGTACATAACTAATTTGGTTAAAATAATTTCTCGATAAACTCTAAATTGTTGTTCGTATTGCTAAGAAACATATCGTTACAATGTGAGTGCGGTTTTACTGATTATTAATCATATTATATGTTCATGAGGTAATAATCATTCTGAACTTAGTCTATATTTTTTTACACAAAATAATAGATTATGAAATTCAAGTTATTCAACTCCAACAAAATTTGAAGTTGCTAAAATTCTAAAAATCTTTCTCCTTCAAAATTAACATGAATTTAAAAATATTTATATATAAAGAAACTATAATTAATTTTGTAAAAAAATAGTTAGCTTTATATTTTGTTAGAACCTTTGTAAAAAAAAATCAATTTTATTTATGTACAAATATGGACGAATGTAAATGTATTCATTCTTCTTTTTTATCTCTTCTCTATGTTTATTGTTCTTATATTTTCTTATAAGTCTTCTAACATAGTAAAATAAACTTATTTATTCATTGATATTAAACTTTCATATAAGAGGACAAGACAAACATCAAAATTTATAATTTACTGTGTTAGATAGTCTTTTATCTAAAATATAAGTATTAAAATAACTCTTTCTCACATTTATCTATTATTCACACATTCTTACTTTTTCTCTGTAGTTACCTAGATTATGCTAGTGTGTGTAAAGATTAAGTCTTCAGTTCTATGTGTTTACTACCAAAAGAGTTGACTGATTTATGTTTAAGTTCAGTTATTAAAAGATGGTGATACTTCAAATAGTGAACCTTATTTCCATTCTTCAGTATGTTCTAATACCATGCAGAACAAAAAAAAAATATGACCCATAGCCTTTGATTATAATAAAATAATGTAAATAACATGCAAAAATGAGTTATTCTCTCTATATTTCATCCTGTATTATGTCAACTATTTAAGGTAATATAATTATATTAGTATAAATTTTATTGAATATTATACTATTAACAATTGTATATGTTTTTTATTCAACTATTGCATTATAATTTTATAAGTTCATTATTACTTTTATTAAAATAAAATAAGGTAAATAAATTGTTTTTTATTTTAATATATTTAAACAATGTATATATATATATATAGAGATAGATTTAAATAAATGAAATATGAAATAACTTTAGATTATTGTAAACATAATTTGTGTAAAAGTAATTTTCAATTTAAGAATGAATTTTTAAAAAAAATATTTAATAAAGAAATATTAACTATTTAATAGTTAATAAAATTATTCCTATCCAATTTGATGTGTTTTTTCTTTATTATTGCATGACAATTGCAAGTTGTAAGGTAAGTGGATCTCTTCACTTGATCCCTGAATGGATAGATCATTTTAAACTTGATACCTACAAATTAATGCAATAATTGGGGCATTCTATTGTCAAATTCTTCTGTGAGAGGAACATTTCCTTTGTTGGATCCAATTATTGTGAAACTCTTTTTGTGAGAGGGTCCATTTCTTTTGCGGGATCCAAATCAGTGTGTCCTGTCAATTTTATGACAAGGTGGGATAACTTCTTTTCAATAAATATATATATTTCTTTTATTTTGTATGATGTTTAACGTGTGTATTT